ATACACACACACACACACGCACACACACACACAGTGACGTCCTGTTTTGAAGCCGAGTCTCGGTGGAGAACTGTGCAGTAGTCTAAACGGGCCGAGTGTGTTTTGTTTTATTATCTTGGAAAAATCAGCTGAAGAACAAAGACACAAGGACAAGGACACACACACACACGCACACACACACACACACACACACACGCACGCACGCACACACACGTACACACACACACACACACACACTCCAACTCCAACCTCCACTTCCTGCCTTACACAAACATTATATGAAGCCTTCTTGCTGAAATTGAAATTGTGCCCTTTTTTAAGGAAATAAAAGTCTCTCATTCCCAAAGACTGTGTCTTCCAATGTTACAGCTCAAAACACCACAAAATAATTTCTCCGTGACTGCATGACTGGTTTAGTTCTGCCCTAAACCAACCGTTTCAGTGTCTGTAGTTTTAAAGGTGAGCTGCTGCTGGCCACGCCCCCTGCTGGTGACCCTGCCCCTTGTCGCTGGCCCCACCTTTTTTGTGTTCTGCTTGTTCGTGTCAGACGTTTTAGAATTTAGCAGAAGCTGCTGTAGAAAGTAAATCAACCTGGAGGATGGAGATGCAGCTGCTCATTCTGACTGGTTCACCTAGAAGCAGTGAGGGGGCGGAGCTACACAGAGCTGGACCAGTATTGGTTAATTAGCTGGTACACCGCAGTCCATTAAAAATCCTAATTAGTTTGTAAAGCTGGGAGGCTAATTAACTGTGGGGGGGGATTCAGAAATGGTAAAAACAGTTTTACACTGTCAAAATTTATCACAACCACAAAACACAGTTAGAACGGACTTTCACCAGACGGGACCTTTAATGAGCTCCGTGTCTGCTGAAGGAGGTGAGCTTCCACAATGAGGCCGTGCAAACACAACACGAGGATCTGCAAACACAAAAACTCACTCACTGGCAGCGAAAAGCAATAAAAATTTGGATAACAGCTTTGCGTGGAGATGAAAATCAAAACCAAATTATATTTCATTATCTGGATGAGCTCAGGAGTCAACACGGGGGAAATGTGGCCGACAAGAGGCTGAAGTAGGAGAATAACTGCTACGAAGCTCTGATGTGTGTTCGCTCCACTCAGCAGCCTCCAGACTGATAATGAAACAGACCAACTGTGCAAACAGAAGTTTATCTGAACAGCGCTGAACGTCTGACGCCTTCTGCATCCGACTCGTCTTCATCAGCTGTGTTTGCAGTAAATGTCGCTAAGGCGCCTAATTAACGAAAACCGAAGACAAACTAGATTGGAGAACCTGACCGAGCACTGATGGCATCTCCGGCTGCACATTTGACCAAAGAACAGAAACGACAGCCTGAAGAGGGAACTTGTTCATAGAAGGCGTTTGGCCACCAGGGGGCGCTGCAACCTGGAGCGAATGCAGTGATTCTGTTCACAACTTATGGTCATTTAAAAGGTTCTGGGTCAGTCCGTGTCCATTTAAACGGAATATAGGAAGTATTTTACTCTACCATCGCAGATTTAGTGCAGAGTTTCCTCATTTGTGATCCAAAGCTAAGTTCTGTTAAATATTTTTAGGATTTCAGATGTTTTCAGATCTTTGAATGTTTGTAATTTCAACCTCAGTAAAATGCCCGACGTAGCTGGAAGGGAACGAATCTACCAGGACACAAAAACGTCCAAACCAGGGTGGTACCGGTGTGTCTGGATCCGTCCATATGTACAGTTAGAGGAGCTTTCTGGAGCCACAATATCAACCTCATTTGCATTTTTAGCTTTTTTTTTTACATTTTAAGGACCAGTACATAAAAATGTGTCCCCTGTTGGATCCATTCAGTCATGTGATCTCATGGAAACTATTCTGTCTTCACTGAACATCATGACTGGGAGCTTCATTTCTGGAGGTACTGAACAAGTTCTGTTCTTGTTTTTTAAAAGTAAAAATGTGAAAAATTTCTGAAAACATATGAAATTTTCAAAATTCGACCAAAACATTTGACAGAACTCAAGGTTTCAGTCTCAAATAACAAATAATTAAACTGTGGACAGAATCTGAGACGGAGCAGAAACATGACCCGGACATGTTTCTGGTGAGAGAGATGAAGATTGTTGATGTGCTGACAGACGGACAGGAGTCACATCAGAATCACTGGATGAGACCAAATATTTCCTGACAGTCTGCTTAGATTCTGCCAAATCTGCAGTTATTTTTCTGGCAGGAAGGACTGAAAGTGAGGCATCGCTGAAAACATCCGAACGTCATTCTGTCACTGGTGGACGTTCAGAGCTGCTGTCATGGATCAGAGTCCTGCAGCATCGGATCTCTGCTGCCGGTTTACAGAACCTCTGGAAATGTTCTGCTTTTGTTGATTCCAACAATAAATCAAGTCGATTTAATTTGGTGTTTTTGACAAGAATTTAAAAAAAAGACTTTTTAATGATAAAGTGAAAGCAAATTTCCACAAAGTAACGTTATGTAAGAAATATAAAATGTAAAAGAAGCGTTTGTGTGAGTGA